TTGCCCTACTCTAGTCCAAAATATTCATATTCCCATAATCTCTTGCAGGTAGGAGTGTCATATAACTCTGTTATTGCTACTGATGTAAAAGTATAATTGGGAATTGGGATTAAGGGAAATATTTTTGAAAGGGGTAATCTGAGGTGGCATGTTCCTTAGGACTTTGCCCATTTTCCTTTTCCTTAGCTGGCATGGGTACTGATGAGTAAGCCTTGAGTTGAAGCAGCCAACTTGCAACCATAAGATGAATACCATAGAACAAAGGTTATATACTAAGTATGATAAGATGGAAAGCCCTTGAATTTCTTACAGCATTGTCAAGCTGCTGCAACACCTCTATGCTACCTTCTCCCGGGCTTTATGTTGCACTTTATAAATAAACCCCTATGTGACTAAACAACTGTAGTCAGGTTTTCTGTTGATTACAAACAAATGCATTCCAAGCTGACGCATCTCTCCTCCTTGTGAGTAAGGTTGATTTACACAGTTGTCAGACTAGGTCCTATGTTGTCTGTTTAAGATGTATGAGATGCTTGTCAGAAAAATAGTTTTACCTTCCCTTAGGTGTTATCAAGGGACAGTACTCTCAGTTACTATGGCTGACTTTATATCTTTATTCAGTCATTTCTCAATTTAACTAGTATAAACATACACAGATAATTGAACTTTCAAAGGAATCTTCCTAGTTGGTAGCAACCCAAAAAGTTGAGTTTTGGAAAATAGAATGAGAAAGTGACCTGATAAATGCCAGCTATACTATTAACCTGTATCAGTGCTGTCCTTACAAGACAACTGGAAGTTTAGAACACTTGTTTCCCTCTCTGGCAGGGAAGTGGCACAGCCAAAAATTTTACTTAGTAAAATTGACTATGAGTCCTGAAAATCTTCATAAGAAGATCAGCAGTCCACATGTTTTGGTAGAATATGCATGATGGAAGGATCAGAAATTCCTAACAACATTTTCAGTACACAGAGATGTGCGTTTTGAGGCCTCAGTGTGTCACGAGCCATTACTCCTTTCCTGTCTTACTTTACAAATATTGGTAAAGTGTAGAATTTAAAGGTATCTCCAAAGGCTTCCTACTTATGTCTTTCTTGGACTGATCTGGAATACCTTGAAAAGAGCATTCCTTCCAGTTTATCAGCATAATCATGAAAAATCAATACAAATCTATCAAGATACATGATGGAATTGCCTCAAGAAGTTTTAGAACTCCTTAGCTTCACCCAGAGTGTTTGTGTATGTTTGTATATGTGTACATTTGAGTGTGTGTGTATGTGTGTGTCTAGGGGAGTAGCTTTAGCAGATGGTAGAGGTGCATCTCTGGTATATATGCAGAGATATATACCAGAGTAACGATGCTTTTCCATAGCTTTTCCACACTGTAAAGGTATTTTTCCCTTTAGTGCATAAATGTATGTCATAAAATTGCCATTACTGGGACTTCCCTGGTGGCTCAGTGGTTAAGAATCCGCCTGCCAATGCAGGGGACACGGGTTCGATCCCTCATCCGGGAAGATCCCACATGCCACAAAGCAACTAAGCCCATGTGCCACAACTACTGAGCCTGCACTCCAGGGCTCGCGTGCCGCAACTACTGAGCTTGTGCTCTAGGGCCCGTATGCTGCAACTACTGAAGGCTGCATGCCTGGAGCCCATACTCCACAACAAGAGAGAAACCACCGTGATCAGAAGCCCACACACTGCAACGAAGAGTAGCCCCCACTCGCCACAACTATAGAAAGCCCGTGTGCAGCAACGAAGACCCAGCGCAGCCAAAAAAAATAATAATAATAAAATTAAAAAAAATAAAAATTTGCATGGAAAAAGGAAATGTGATTTAAAAAATTAAAAAATAAAATTGCCGGGCTTC